TTCGTTGAGCAATTCAGCTTACTTGAGGAGATATAGCTGTTTTCCTAACATAAGGCTATCTCAACTAGTGCAGATGTGCTCATTCATATGCATTGTACAACTCAAGTGTGCCCTTTAGGTCAAATTGCTGAAGTCTCTCCCCCTCCCCCATTAGATTATCTAGTATAAACAAATACTAATGTCCGTTCCCGTTACTTTGCGTAAGAAAACATCATAGAATGTTTTGGTATACTGTATGCTTCTAGGAATTTGCATGTTGAGCAATATTTGGCGATTCATCTTGGTACGTTATATGCGTTATTAGTTTTCATTTTTCTGAAATTAACGCCGAAAGGGCGGGGTGGATTGATCTCTCTTGTCGGTATTTCAGGTTTGATCTACCGTATTGGTTTGATTCCTATCATCCGGAGAATCTGAAGTCGTTTCACTCTCGCACAAACTTGAGAATAATTTATTTCTCACTTGATTCTTTGTTAATGTAATCCTGTAAGTTGCAGTTGCAATGTTGTAATTTAAGCAATATTATGCGTTATAATCATGTACGATTGTGTATTTTAGCGTTTTCGGTTGATTTCGATGAACACATTGTGTTTCTGATTTGTTGAGAATCCCAGTTCAGAATCACTATTTCAGTTGTGAAAAATCATCTTCGTCATTTCATAATGCCTACCAAATACTATGGCGACCGTCCACAGGCATTCTCAATCGATGAAACCGGCGAGCGTTATTACATCGGAGCCGAGGTAAATTTTGCATATTTATTGCTTTTTTAGATTATTAATCTCTTGATTCATTGAGTGTTAAATTTCACATCTCCACAATATCCCCTGTACGTTATTTGATTAACTTTGGGTTTTGATTAGCGTTTATTTTTTGATTTTTGATCAACGTTTATTTTTTCATAGTGCGTTTATTTTGATTAGCAATCAACTATATCACAATATTACTTGATGATTTTAAATGATACGAACGTTTCTTAAGGTTGGACAATACATGAAATTCCATCGTGGATCACTCTACAAGAAATTTCCCCAATTATGGAAACGTTTCGCAACATTGGATGAAAAAAGGAAAATGCAAGAGATGGCATGTCCGTCGTCATTTCTCAATACCAATATTATGCTCGTGAAAGCAAGCGAAGTAAGTTGCATGTATAAAATTAATTCGTTCGCATTATTTTGATTCGTTCCACCAAAGTTTAACGGAAGTTTCAACTGTTTCTCTTTATATAATATAGTTCATATTGTGTTCTTATCGTGGAATCGAACCAAATGGGTGAAATACTTCATTAACGACTTTCTCAAGCATCATGCATCTTCAGTTATCTTTGTTTTTATGCATTCATAATTCATTGTCCGTGATGTCCTCCTTTATGTCTGTGTTAACAAAGGAAATCTTACATGTTGTTGCAGGTGGATGAAATTTTGAATGGAAATGATGAAAAGTATCGAGCTAGTGGCGGTGGATCAACGGCAAATCTGACATCTTGCGGATCTGGAATCCTAAATGGAAACTCCCCGCTGAAAACAACTAGATCTGGAACAGGACCATGGCTTGGCCAACAGGTTCGCCTTTGATTGTGATACAGAATCGTTTTCTTCCGTATTTAACCGAGAGAATTTCCCAGTGATCACCTGAATACATACACATCATGGTCAGTTTGTTATCATGGAATGATTTGAAGGTGAGCAGTGGTTCGCATCATCTGGAATCAGTACCGTGCTCTACACCTGTGGCGCATGCACGTGGACACATGAAGACGAGAGATTACGCTTACTCGCCGGATGATTTGGATATGTATAAACGTGTATTGGAAAACGCAGATCAACAAGAAGATCTTGTACCGATTAGGTTCGTGCCTCTTTTTGCGCTTTTTTTTTCGAGTTCATCAAAGCGACTGGATTATCGAATGGGATAGCGTTATGAGTGATATGATTGTATTATATTGTCATTTGCAGACTTGATATGGAATTGGAAGGAATCAAACTTCGAGATACGTTTTGCTATAATCGAAATGAAAAGTTGATAACACCAGAAATGATCGCGGAAACAATGTGTGATGATCTGGATTTGCCGATGGGTACGTTCCATGCGGCCATCGCGCAGGCAATACATCAGCAAATTGAGGTAAGCTCATTTACGGTCATGGACGTCGACTGGAATTCTACT